GTCATTAGCACCTCTAGTAATATATTTACTGAGAAAAATGCTGACATGTTCAATACTTATTTTACCTGCTGTATAAACTATGCAGTGATTAGTTCAACACGTTTGAAATGGGGTTTTGTGCTAAAGATATGAACAGTTAGCATCTTACCTGTTGTACCTAGGTGTTTGAGTGGCCTCACATTAAAGAAACAAAGTTTAATCCTGATAGGACTGATAATCTATCTAATAGTCCAAACTCAGCTAAAACTAAAGGGAATAGCTGCTGTCTGTAAACTGCTCCAACCTCCAAATATACTGTTGCTTCAGGTGAACACTATTTTATTAAACTTTATATCACTAATAGTTTCTCATTACGCAGTGTTTACATATAATTTTACCATAAAGTACAAGTTCAAATAACACCAGCCGTATTGACATGTAAGTAAGTAAGTAAAGTTTTATTTATAAAGCTCCTTTCACAGAAATATATTCACAAGGTGCTGTACAATCATTAACAAAGTAAAAATGGTGGAAAGATAAAATGAAACATAATAAAACATCAAATTAAGATTAAATTCTAAAATTGTAAAAAAAAATGTAACAACTTACTATCCAACTCTGCTCTAATCATTATAGTCATTTGATTTTAATGTGGTATTTTTTTTAACTAAACAGAAGAAATCTTGGAATTATGACCAATAAATACAACAAGAACCCAGAAAAACATACAGAATACAAACTAAAAATACATTATATACTATTCCTTTAGTCATTTTCCTGCACTGCTTGTTGTGTTGTGTAGATATCGGGACTACCGTTACCCTCCGGGCCATGAGAGGGAGTACACGCACACCATGCAGTTCTGGCACATCCTGGCAGCCAAGATGGCCTTCATTATTATCATGGAGGTAAGTGAACCCAGCTTCATCCTCGCACCGGATTAATAAATCAGCGTCGGGTCATCCACGGTGTGTTGTTCCCGCAGCACGTGGTCTTTGTGGTGAAGTTCTTCGTGGCGTGGCTGATCCCAGACGTCCCGTCAGAGGTGAAGGCGCGAATCAGGCGAGAACGCTTCCTGATCCAGGAGTACCTGCACAACTACGAGGTGGAGAAGCTCAAACTGCAGCTGAGCGCCAGCTTCATCACAGAGCCGCGCTCGGACCTGACGCTGACGCCTGACAAGCATGAAATGCTCTCCGAGTGCCTCACCTGACGCTTCCCATGTTTCCCGCCAAAAATATTTCTGTTTCAGTTTGTTTTTTTCCTGCAAGGGCTCCWGTTATTAAACTGTAAATGTCAGTTCTTTACATGTAAATAGACCTTAATACTTTACCAAGAGGTGCTCTTATAGGGTCCAAACAGACGTGTCAGATAAAACAAACTGCAGGAGAATCATGTCAATTATTTGATTTTGTCAAAATATAAAAGCACTGATTTATATATGGAAATAAATGTGCTGAATGGAAATGTGAAGAAGTATTTATAAAACTGAAGAATAAACACTCAGATTTAAAGATAATTGAGTTGAAACAGTGCAGTGAATATCTTACCTGTTGCAGATATCTTTTTGATGAACCTCAGTTTGAATAAATACATTAGTTTAATTCTGAGCAGAATGAAGCGCTAAAAGCTAACCTAAGTGGATTTTTGTTTTAAAACAGATTGTTTTCTTACTGTAGCACTTCCTGCAGGATGATCATAACATTACTGCTGGATTAAATGTGAAATCACAAATACAGATTTAAAAAAAATGTGTTTGCATAAATCTCAATGAAATGTTTAAGCTGATGTTTAAAAACAGCCGAAACACTCAGACTAGCCGTTAGCTCTTCAGTCCAGACAGAAATGAACTATTTTTCCAAACTAAATGTTTTTATCTTTCCACTGACTTCAAGAAATCTGAACTATCTTTTTAATATTGTGCCACATATTCAATCAACATTTATTTATAGAGGTCTTTACAGAGGGCTCAAAGTGCTTCACTGATTTGGAGCAGGGCTATACTGTCAGGTTTTTAAAAAATGTGCATTTGAAACCAAGTACCTCCATTCTGCAGCGAATCTGTAACAATCAGAAATGTGGTTTTATTTTATTTTTTGTGAGCAGCTGCAGATTTTTGTCTCGTTGGCAGCTTGATTCTAGACTGTCAGATTTGAAAACAAAATATATCTGAGAAATGTTACCAGATTTTACAGTTTTCGCTCTTTACTCCTAATAATCAGCATATGTTACTTTATGTCTCAGATTATTAGTGTTTCTACATTCTGATGGGATTATAAAGTTTACTCTCAAAAAATGGGGATGCATGCAACTTTCAGCTGTTTTTATGTGAAATAGTTGCAGGTTGACACTATGAAGCTTGTTCTGCTGTATATTTCTAGAATAAACACTTTTAAATGTGTAATTTATTCATTGATCAGCTTCTGTACAGTTCAGAGCTTCTCCATCATTCTTGTTTTAACATCACATCAGTCCTTTTTTTTAGTTTTATACTTTACATCGTGGTCATGATGAAGAATTATCCTGCGATTTATTTAAGAAAAGTATTGTTTTTGTGAGGAATGGGAGAAAATGAAAACTGCTACTTGTTTTTCAGCTATAAGTCAATATTTCCTTTAATGTTTATTATTCAGATGTTTGTATTTTCGCTCAAACCGATATGTGACTTAAGGGAAGGATTGTCGGGCCAAGCAGGATTTCTTTGACGGTCCGAATCTAAACCCGGCTCCAGAATCTCCAGATGCTTCCAGATGTGTTCTGAGGGTTGGAATGTGATCCTGCATGCTGCATGATGATCTACTGAACAATCAAATGCCTTAAACATCTGTTTACTTGTTTAAGTGTCCTGGCTGAGTGCAATCTTTGTCTCTTATCTGTTGCTGTTTGTTTGAAATGTATCTTCTGTTGTTTTGTGCTGTAATTGATGTGTGAATATTTAGTATTTAATGTAAGCTCTTACTGTTCAGAATAAACAAACAKGAGATAAATCTTCAACTAAAGATATTTGTTGTATTTTTACTCGTGTTTTCTGCAAAAAAAAATGATTTATTGTAAGAAAAATACAAATAAAATCAGAAATCAGTCATTCTGAAACGATTTGACCCAGARTGATACATTTAGTTTCTTCAGAGGACAACAGTTTTACAACTTACTGCAGTCTTAAAGCATCAACTTCATCATCAACTTTATTTATAATGCACTTTAACACCAACCACAGCTGAACAAATTGCTGTACATCAGTAAAATGAAAATAAATAAGATAAAAACATAAAATCACTAAAATTAAGTAAAATCAAGTCTTAGTTGGGTTAAAGGCCAATGAGTAAAAGTAAGTTTTCAGACAGGTCTTAAAAATGGAAAGCAGTGGTGAACAGTCTCATGGGGCTGTTTTTTTAGGTTAAAAATTTCACTGCTCAAAACTTTGTAAAGTTATTTCCACAACAGAACAGAGATTTCTTTCACCGTCATACTTCTTGAAGTCATCAAAATATATTTTAAAGTTTATTTTAAAGTTTTGTTCCCATTGGGTTGACCTTGGGTGAACTTTTCTGTTGTTAAAACAACTTTAAAATCTCCATTTCACTTGGTTTACTCAAATTTGTCATCTTTTGGATTTGTTTAAAAGTGTTACTGACTAAAACAAGCAATGCTCATTAGGTAGAAAAAGATACTTTGTAAAGTTCGAAATTGATCTGTTTTTAAGATCTTGTAGTTATGAAGATGGATCAATCAAATGATCAATCAATCATCAAGTTTCCAAATATCCCTTTGGCTTGTTTGTCAAAGATTACAAATCATTATTTTCTTTTTATTAAAAAACAACAAAAAAAACATTTTAGAGGTTGAAATGGAAGCCTTATAGGATGGATTTAAAAAAACCCTGATGCTTATTGCATTGAAAACAGAAAAAACTTTCTTACTTCTCATAAAATCTGTTCTCAGCTCGTGACTGATCATAAAAGAGAGAGCAGCAAACCAGAACCAGACTTCAAACTAGTCATGTTCAGTAATTTATTATAAATTCATAAATAATAGGGTGTACTCGCCTTTTGACTGCAGCAGATAAGCTCCAGATGGTTGGATAGAAACACTGGAGCACAAAAATGCTTCATTCTTTCAACTAAAAACTGCAACAAACCAATCAAAAACATATATTTGACTTCAGAAKTATTTACACACACTTTAACCCAGAAAATGTATTTAAACAGAACTTCAAAATCAATAAAAAAAACAATAATTATCTCCAAAGAATTATTAAAACAAAGTTTTGAAAACGTCTAGAAAAGAAGTATATTTATGACCACCAGGTGGCGACAAATACCCACAAATAAGAAAAATTCGCAAAGGGGTTTACTTTTAGTTTTTCTAGTTCCTTACAGAATCCTTGACTTAAAAC